GGTCACACAGCTTGTCAGTGATGCAGTCAGGATTTCTACCCCGGCAGTCCAGGGCCTGCACCCTTAACTATTGTGTCATTCGTTAGGCTTCTCAATTCTAAGTGTGATTTGAGTACAGTATTTTCTTATATTTTATTTGTGTGTTTACTTTCTTACATGAATAATTCATATTTATTGTAAGGAAATTGGAAAATACAGGCAAAAAGAAAAAAGTCACCCACTCTCCCATTACCCAAGCACAGTCAACACTTTGTGAGTTTTTCTATGCCTTTTTCTAAGCATATGCACGTTTCTTTACAAGAATGCCTTCATGAAATAATTGGTTTTTTAATTTGTTTTCTTCCCCTTACAATAAATCAGAAACCTCTTTCTACATTATCAAACATTTGTCTACATTTAACACATGTGCGCTTTAGAATAATAACAAGATGCCGTCTGTCCACCCCCAGGTTAATAAGAAGGTTCCCAGTGCCCTAGGAACCTCCTGGCGCTCTCTCTGGTGATTGCTCCTGCCACTCCAGAGGTCACCTCTGTCTTGACTTTTGGGTTAAACACGCCCTTACTTTCCTTTAGAGTTTTATTAAGACCCTTAGGTATGTCTCCCTGAGCCCTATATTGATTCACTTCAAACAGCTGAGGGGCAGCATGCAGCTGGCTGGAGAGAGCGGACACGATGGCCGGGGCAGAGGAAGACCCCTAGGAAGGTGAAACTGAACTGAGCCGCTGGGGCACAGACTGGCCTCAGCCTCCCTGAGCATTGACAGGAGTCCCTCTGGGGCAGCTGGTGGGCAAGGCTGGGTGTGCAGCTCCCCTGTCGGCACATCCCGCCAGGCTGTGGTGTGGACATTCAATATGAAATAGAGGCATGGGCTGTGTGTCTTCTTGCTTCTGAGCTCACTGCACGTGTGTCCAGACCTCAGGAGCAGGGGTGGACACTTCCGTGAGACAGAACAGTGCCCTTCACTGAGCCAGGCAGCAGGACATGGAAGGGAGAACAGGGTCTCATCAGCCTGTGATCAAGACAGCCAAGTGTGGACGGGAATCTAGGCCAGGCTCACCAGACATTTCAGTTCCTAAACAGGCAGGACAGTGACAGGTGGCAACTTGGTGATGACAGCCCTCTGTGCATCTCTGATGTACCGGCTGCTCGAAGGCCTGGTGCACAGGTCATCCTGGGATCTCTCTTCACCACCAGCCTGGGGGTGCTCTTGACCCCTCTGGTAGCTGGCTTCTCATTTCCTGGACAGCACATCTCACCCTTCCTGGTCCCCCTGTGTTGGCAATGAGCCCATCCTCCAAGGATGCAGTCTTTTTTTTTTTTTTTTTTTTTTGAGTGCGTTGGGTCTTCATTGCTGCGCGTGAGCTTTCTGGTTGCGGTGAGCGGGGGCTACTTTTCATTGCGTTGTGGGCTTCTCTTGCTACGGAGCACGGGCTCTAGGACCGCGGGCTTCAGTAGTTGTGGCGTGTGGGCTTAGTTGCTCCACAGCATGTGGGATCTTCCCGGACCAGGGCTCGAACCCATGTCCCCTGCATTGGCAGGCGGATTCCTAACCACTGCGCCACCAGGGAAGTCCCCAAGGATGCAGTCTTAAGAAAGGCTACATAGGAGGTATTATTTTTGAGATCTTGCACTCTATCCTGTGGTTGACTGATGTTTGGCTGAGTAAAAATTCAAAGTTGGAAATCATTGTCCTTCAGCATCATGGAGACACGCCGTTTTCCAGCTGCCACAGTGCTGAAGCCATTCTGCGTTCTGAGCCTTTGTGTGTAACCCCCTTTGTTCTTCCTGGAAGATTTTAAGCTTTTTGTCCCCAGAGTCCTGGAATTCCACGCTGATATTCCTCGATGTGGGTCTAATTTCATCCAATGTTCCAGCTCTCAGGAAACTCATATCTTTTATTTTTCAGAAACTGGATTTTTAGGGGGGATGATTTCCTTCCCTCCATTTTCTCACTTCTCTTTCTGGAAACCCTATAACTCAGAATCCTGGACTTCCTGGTCTTGTCTCCTAACTTCCCTTCCTCTCCTGCTTCTCATGCTTTGCTTTTTTTCTTTTTCTGTAAACTTCTGTGACGTTTCCTCAACTTTCTCTTCTTGGCCCTCTATTGATTTTTTTAAATTCAGCTATCCTATTTTTCTATTTCCAAGGGATTTTTGTTGTTGTTGTTTTCTGAAGCTTCTTTTTTTTAAAAAAAAAAAAACTTCCTGGACTTCCCTGGTGGTCCAGTGGTTAAGACTCCGTGCTCCCACTGCAGGAGGCACAGGTTCAATCCCTGGTTGGGGAAGATCTGGAATGCTGCACAGCGTGGCCAAAAAAAAAAAAAAAAAAAAAAAAAAAAAACTATAAAAAAAATTAAAACTTCCTATACAGTTTTCACTGATGCAATGTCTTCTCTTACCTCTCAACTATCAAGGATAATTTTCTTAAAACAATTATTTTGTTCTCTCATCATAGTCTCTGATTCCTATGCATTGTAGCTATTTTATTTTTTTCTGTATGTAAGAGGCTTTCCTCAGATGCTTGGGAATCTTTGCCTGGCTGCTCATGATAAGAAGAAAAAAGGAAAATAAGTCTTTGGATGGTATTTGTTGAATGAGCTTCACTGTAAGTTGAACTTGGTGGTCATTTGTCTGGTAACTTCCTGGACTGTCAATATCTTCAGCTTTTTCCTCTTGTACTGGTCAGATTCCCCAAGGCCCTCCGGTTCTTGCCTGGAGGGTAGGGGTCTGGTGGCACATTTCTGGGAGCATGGGAGGAGGTCTCTGCATTCAGCAGTCAGCATCCACCTGTTTCAGCAGAGAACCCACATTCACCATGATCCCTGGCCTGCCCAGCCCTTTCCAGAGCTAAGCATTTGCCAGAATGAGGGAGGGGTATCACCCAGGGGCTAGAGAGAGGGAAGACATCTAAAGATCTAACTGTTCTTCAAAGACACCTTCAAATAGTTCTCTTAACTTCAGCCTTTTTTAACCCTTAGATCTAGAAGTGCCTAGGGCTACCAGTTCCTAAGCATTTAAGGATTCTGTTGTATGAATAAGGGTTGGTTCTCAGTCTTCAGCTGCCTGGAGTCTGCTGAATCAGATAATACTGTTCATCCTGGTTTCTAGCTTGAAGAGATTCTGTTGCTGTTCCTGTTCTCCCTGTCCTTGAGTTTTATGTCTTTAAAAGATTCCTCTGGGTTTATGTGCTTCTGGAGGCAGCGTGTGCTCTGTTCATGTCTTAACCTGAAAACCTCCTCCATATCTTTTATCACCACAGCATTGTATAGATTTGCCATCATTCATTTAACTAATCTCTTGCTGGATATGCACCTCATTTCCTCCTTTTCCGTGTCAAAAGCAAGGCTGCTGCGGATGACCTGAGAGCTCATCTGATTCTTTGCTCAGGACAAGCTCACTGTAGTAGACTTGATGATGTAAGTCTGATCTCGGAGAGACAGCAGTGAGCGGTCCTGAAGAGAGATTGTAGTTCCCTGCCCAGAAGTCGAACCTGAGTAGCCTAGATGAAAACCAGGAATCGTAGCCACTAGACCACAAGGGGCTAGAGACTAGAAGCAAAGGGGCCCTAGCTCTTTCCCCCATTTGAAAGCAAGAGTGTTTCAAGGAGTCAAAAACTGTAAAATCAGGTACAAAGTTTATTATTAGAGACACAGCATAACATGTGGGAGAGCACACAGACAAACAGCTTGTTTAAGACAGAAGCAGGGCAGAAATACACACCTGGAGGGAAAGGCTACCGGCCTCCTCTCTAATGAGGGGGGGCCAGTAAGCCAGAAGCTAGCCAGAAATACACCGGCAGAGAGGAGTGTGGGAGTCCTGAATGAGGAGTTCAGTAAAGAGGTGATTTAAATCACGTATATAGGACAGTGCTTCGGGTCTTTGTTTACATTTGGCCAATTACCTCGTTTCTTTTTTCACAGCTGACGGGTCCCAGGACCCTCCCCAACATGCATGTGCAACATTTTGCTAAGATGGATCCCACTGCAGAGGCCTTCTAGCTGGGTATATGTCCACACATACTATGGGGTGGCGGCTGCTCCCTTTCTGACCCCCAAGGAGCCTTCCTGCGCATGTGCAGACAGGGAAGTTTTTATTGACCTCAGGAGTGGGCGCCTTATCTCTTTACCTTAGCAGAGCTCAGCTTCTGCCACTAGCTTTGTCCTTGGAGTGCCTAGGTGAGAACAAAGCTTCAATTTTACTCCACTTGACAAACCCCAGCTGTTCAGGCCAGCGGCCCATCTATCTCCTACCTCAGGTCTACCTAGATCTTTCTCATTCTGAGGTGTGGAGTGAGTGGTGTGTGTGTGTGGTGTGTGTGTGTGTGTGTGTGTGTGTGTGTGTGTGTGTGTCCTGGGCTCCTTAGAAGAGGCTGGCAGGGAGGAGCAGGGGAGTAAAGGGGTGTAGTTAGAGATGAGGTCAGAATTAGACTCTCTGACACAGCCTCGCACCCCCAATTTCCAATCCTCCTTTTGTCACTAACCACCTGTCTTTGAACCCTTGTCTACTCCTGTGTAAACTGAGGATAATAATGGCACCTATTTGTCACAGCGTTGCTGTGAGGAATTAAACAGACTAATGTCTGAAAAATATCCAGGGCTTTGTTCAATGGGACAAATATTAATTGGACGATTATTTTGTGCCTGGCACCGTGTCTGGTTTGTAGGAAACAAAAGAGAAGACAGTGCTGGGAAAATCAGATACAAGAAAGAATGTGAAAGCGTTTCAAGTACTTTTCCCATGCTAGGTTGAATATTACATTGCATTGAGTTGTTTACTTAATAAATATGTTTGAGGGCTCATTGTGGTGCGATGTCGTGTTTTATTTTTTCCTGCGGAGGTTGAGGTAAGCGTGTGGGATCACCCGGCGCACAGCCGACAGTTTCAGAGCAGGGACGGAATCGATAACAGCGGAACCTCTCTTACCGCCCGGCGGTGCCTCTGCCCGCCGGCAGGAAATGCGTCAAGGACCGCGCCGCGCTGCGCCGCGCCGCCGCAGTCGGGCCTCGGTCGCCCTGGTAACGCCCGTGGGGCCGGTTCCTCAGCATGAACGTCCGGGTCGCGCGGGCTGCGTGGGCCTGGGGCCGGGGCTTGAGCTGCAGCCGCGGCGCCTCGAGCCTCCTGCTGCCTCCCCCGGGCGCGGTGGACGTGGAGGAGCTGCTGCGAGATGCGACGGCGGCGGAGGAAGGGCCCCGGGAGGCCTCGGTGCGGCGGTTGCCGGGCCAGTGCTCGGTGCTCCTCTTCCCCGGCCAGGGCAGCCAGGTGGTGGGCATGGGCCGCGGTCTGCTCCGCTACCCGCGCGTCCGCGAGCTCTACGCCGCCGCCCACCGCGTGCTGGGCTACGACTTGCTGGAGCTGAGCCTGCATGGGCCGCAGGAGGCCCTGGACCGCACTGTGCACTGCCAGCCCGCCGTTTTCGTGGCTTCTCTGGCCGCCGTCGAGAAACTGCATCACCTGCAGCCCGCGGTGAGGCCCGAGGCCCGGTGGCAGGCCGGGGAGAATGGGCTCTGCCCGAGCTCTCACAGCTAGGTCGCGGTCCAGCCGAGGCTCCAGCCCGCCAGGCCGGCGTGCTCCAACGTCTGATCTGTTCGGCAGATCCTTACTGAGTTCCCACCGTGCCGGGCACCGTTGTAGGCCCAGGGGATACAGCCTACAACAAACAAAACAAGGATCCCTGCGCCTGGGGAGCTTGCATGTTAGGGCAAGGAGATAGATAATAGAGAGTAAATATGCTATGTAAATTACGTAGTGTGTTAAAGATAAGTGTTTCAGAAAGAAGACTAGAGCAGGGAAAGGGGCCGGGGAGTGGAGGGCCGGGTTGCGATTTTAAATGATCCTTAATCATTTAATTAATTACTAAATGATTTTAGAAGGATTAAGCTTCACCCTTAAAGGAAGGGTCATTGAGAAGGTGATATCTGAAAGTATCAGTTCACTTGAAGTTGTGAAATGATTGCTGTTAATATTTATTATCACAACAGTAAATGTTAAGCTCGTACTTTACCCCCATTTCATCCTCACAACAGCCTTGTGAGGTAAGTACTGTTACTTAGTAGGTAAGGAAAGAAGACGCAGAGATATATTTTTTTTTTTTAACATCTTTATTGGGGTATAATTGCTTTACAATGGTGTGTTAGTTTCTGCTTTATAACAGAATGAGTCAGTTATACATATATATATGTTCCCATATCTCTTCCCTCTTTGTCTCCCTCCCTCCCCCCCTCCCTATCCCACCCCTCCAGGTGGTCACAAAGCACCGAGCTGATCTCCCTGTGCTATGTGGCTGCTTCCCACTAGCTATCTATTTTACATTTGGTAGTGTATATATGTCCATGCCACTCTCTCACTTTGTCACAGCTTACCCTTCCCCCTCCCCATATCCTCAAGTCCATTCTCTAGTAGGTCTGTGTCTTTATTCCTGTCTTACCCCTAGGTTCTTCATGACATTTTTTTTTCTTAAATTCCATATATATGTGTTAGCATACGGTATTTGTCTTTCTCTTTCTGACTTACTTCACTCTGTATGACAGACTCTAGGTCTATCCACCTCATTACAAATAGCTCAATTTCGTTTCTTTTTATGGCTGAGTAATATTCCATTGTATATATGTGCCACATCTTCTTTATCCATTCATCCGACGATGGGCACTTAGGTTGTTTCCATCTCCGGGCTATTGTAAATAGAGCTGCAATGAACATTTTGGTACATGACTCTTTCTGAATTCAAGACGCAGAGATATTAAAGCAAGTAGCTTAAGTGGTCATGTCGAGTCATGATAATAACATTCATCCAGTGCCTGTCCTGGGCCAGGTCTGTGCTGAGCGATTTAGGGGTGTTATATCCATGTAATTCTCTCAGCAGCCCTGTGAGGTCGGTCCTGCTGCTCTCCCCATTTCACAGATGAGATAACTGAGGCGCAGACATTAGGGAACTCTCCCAGGCTAAAAATCAAATCCAGAGGTGACTCTGAAGGTCATGCTCTTAACTTCTGTACTTAGCGTCCTCTGTCTCCATCAGCCTGAGGGGCAGCACCAGGGCAGAAGCAAGAGAATGCAGAGCCCTGGGTTGCCATCACAGCTCAGCCAAGGAGTCCGCCAGTAGGCTTTAACTTGCCTTGCCAGTTAAAGTTCCTCATCAGTAAAGGGCTGGATCAGTGATAGTCAAGGCCACTTCTGTGTGTTGTCTTCTAGCTGGAGCACCAGGCCAGCAGAACCTGGCTCACTGAACTGCTGAACCCCTGTCAGCTTGCAAGTGCAGAGCCCCGGACTGAACTCGCCTGAGAACTTGGCCTCATGTTCTTCTGCATGTGTCGCTGCAGGTTATTGAGAACTGTGTTGCTGCTGCAGGATTCAGTGTGGGAGAATTTGCAGCCCTAGTGTTTGCTGGAGCCATGGAATTTTGTGAAGGTACATAGGAAGAGGTTTGGGTTTTGGGGGTTTTTTAAAAATATTTATTTATTTGGCTACATTGAGTCTTAGTTGTGGCATGGGGGATCTTTCGTTGGGGAGCGCGGGCTCCAGAGCACACGGGCTTAGTTGCCCTGTGGCATGTGGGATCTTAGTTCCGTGACCAGGGATCGAACGCACGTCCCTGCATTGGAAGGCGGATTCTTAACCATTGGAACACCAGGAAAGTCCCAAGGTTCGGTTTTATGCATGGGGTATTGTCTTGCTGGGCTTACTGAGGACAAGGGGCACTACCAAAAATAATTCTGGACCTACTCAGGGGTAATAGAGAAGGGAGCCATGGGTGGGGGTGACAATGGGACCTGATGACCAGACTTCACCTTGATTCCCTTTTAAGCTTGAAGGGTTCATCAGGGAATTTCTTTCTTCTTGTAGTCTTGTGAAATCTTCTTGCTTTAGTGTCTCCCACTACTTATGTGCATTCTTAGTCCACTCATGTACCTCCAGTGCCTGTCGTGTGGTAGATCATCAATAGATTCTCATTAAGTGCAAAAGAATAAATCAGTGTTTGATCTGGAGCCATATCAGTTCCACGTCTTAAGATTTTTGTGTATAAACATGTAAACATTTTTGCTTATAGTTAAATACAAAGGACTTGAATAGACATTTCTCCAAAGAAGATATACGAAGGACCAATAAGCACATGAAAAGATGTGCAACATCACCAATCATTAGGGAAATACAAATCAAAACCGCAGTGGGGTACCACTTCATACCCACTGGGATGGCTTTAATTTAAAAAACAAAAGAGGAAAATAATAATAAGTGTTGACAAGGATGTAGGAACCTCACACATTGTTGGTGAAATGTAAAGTGGTGCAGCCATTGTGGAAAACAATTTGGTGGTTCCTCAAGTTAAACATAGAATTACCATGTGACCCAATAGTTCTACTCACAGGTCTATACCTAAAAAATGAAAACATATGTCCACACAGAAAAACTTGTACACAGATGTTTATAACAGCATTATTCATAATAGCCAAAAGGTGGAAATGACCCAAATGTCCATAATCAGATGAATGGATAAACAAATTGTAGTAGATCCATCCAGTGGAATGTTATTCAGCCATAAAAAGAAATGAAATACTTATGTTGCAGTGTGGATGAACATTAAAAACATGCTAAGTGAAAGAAGCCAGACACAAAAATCACATATTTTTATATGAAATGTCCAGAATACATAAATCCAGAGAGACAACAGGTTAGAGGTTACCGGGGATGGAGGGAAGGAGAAATGAGGTGTTTTATGGGCTGATGGAAAGTTTTGAAACTAGAGCTGGTGGTTGTACAACATGAACACAACAAATACCACTGAATTATACACTTGAAACTGGTTATATTTTATGTGAAATTCACCTCATTGTTTTTTAAAAAAGCATTATAGGAAGGAAGAGTTATCAAGGAAGTGGAAAAAAATTTTCATATGTCCACATCCTAATAAAACTATTTTATACAAATACAGTTTTATGTGTATGTAATTTGCAGGATTATTGACATTCTGTGTTTTTTCACTTGACAATTTGCATAGTTATTTAATACCTGCCTGGGAGGGTTTCCACGTTCCTGTGGGTTCTCTCCTGCCTGCTAACACAGGCTTTTAATGTATTTGCTCCACAGTTCTGCTTGTGTAAGGGCTAAAAGTCCAGTACAGACATATACGGTGCCGGGTGAATGAAGGTGCGTTAGAGAGAAAGGGTGCAGGGTTTGTTCCTCAGACTTTGTTGTCCCATCAAACCCTGGATTGGTCCCTTAACTGCTCCTTGGTCTAGCCCAGGACCAGGGTGATAGCTGTCCAGTAATTGCAGTCCATTCTTTTTTGTTTTGTTTTTAAATTTTATTGAAGTGTAGTTGATTTACAATGTTGTGCTAATTTCTACTGTACAGCAAAGTGACTCAGTTACACATATAGGCTTTTTCATATTCTTTTCCATTATGGTTTATCACAGGATATTGGATGTATATCCCTGTGCTCTACAGTAGGGCCTTGTTGTTTATCCATCCTGTATATAATAGTTTGCATGTGCTAATCCCCAACTCCCAATCCTTCCCTCCCCCACGTTCCCTCCCCCTTGGCAGCCACGAGTCTGTTCTCTGTATCTCAGTGTGTTTCTGTTTCGTAGATATGTTCATCTGTGTCGTATTTTAGATTCCACATATAAGTGATACATGGTATTTGTCTTTCTAACTTCATTTAGTATGATAATCTAGGTCCAGCCATGTTGCTGCAAGTGGCATTATTTCATTCTTTTCTAGACTAATATTCCATCATATATATGTACCACGACTTCTTTATCCATCTGTCAGTGGACACTGAGGTTGTGCCAGGGACAGCACCCTGCCTTTTGATGATGGTGGTACCATATATGTATGGTTCAGATACATAGAACTGGGGCTTGTAGACTGGTGATGGATACCAATATCAATGTCTCCAGCACACAGTGTGGAATTTGTGCTTTGTTTTTGGGTCTGGGCTTCTCTTCTCCATTACATGCCTTGATTTTTCCAAATGCACTTCTCTCTGGGTAGGTTTGTATGCAGTGAAAATCCGAGCTGAGGCCATGCAGGAAGCCTCGGAAGCTGTCCCCAGTGGGATGTTGTCCATCCTCGGCCAGCCTCAGTCCAAGTTCACCTTTGCCTGTCTGGAAGCCCAGGAGCACTGCAAGACTTTGGGCATAGAGAACCCCGTGTGCGAGGTGTCCAACTACCTCTTTCCTGACTGCAGGGTGATCTCAGGACACCTGGAGGTTGGTGTTCACGGGAGCAACCTTCCTCGACCCCAGTCCAGTACAGAAGGTTGGAATTATTCCACACCTGGGAGCGCACAGAGCATAACAGGTGCTCTGCCCAGCCCTGGTCCTTGGGAGGCATCTGGGGGCCACGGGTGTGTGTGGTGGAGCGAGCACTGCAGAGAGAGGCAAGAGGCTGGGGTACTGTCTCCGCTCCACGACGTACAGACCTTGGGCAAATTCCCAGCCCACGTGGAAAGTAAAGGGGCTGGGCCAGATGATCTCCAGGGCCTTCCTGTGATACGTTCTGGGCTTCTCACAGCCTCTGATCCCATTGCTTCTTTAGAGAGAGAAGCTGTTTCCTGCTGGGTTACTCTCCCCTGCTCTACTTTTTCTTAGGTGTCTGTTTTTGCACCCTTTCCTTCTGTCCATCCTTCCACTCACTGCTGCCCCAGACATCCTTTCTCGGGCAGCTTGTGTGTGGCAAGCACTGAGGACACACGGACAGATCAGCCGGGGTTCCTGCTGTCAAAGGAAGGCTGGCTGTGAACGGATGACTCCAGGTTTCAGGGCACAGTAAGGGTCAGGCTGACTACCAGGGTGCCAGGAGGCGGTGCCTGGAGGATGAGGTTGCCAAGAGCAGGGGCATCCCAGGCAGACGGGAGTGCCCAACGGAAGGGGCAGTTCTGTACCGTGTGCCTGGCTGGGGAGTGTTGAGTGCAGACCGGATGGGTGCTTCCCCGTCTTGTCTCCTCCGGTCCTCCGTCTGGTCCTGTGCTCTGTGGACGGGAGCTCTACACCGGGAAGCTGAGGCAGAGAGCCAAGTGCTTAGTGGTGCTGGAGGTAGGGTGAGAGCTACCGTCCATGTCCCTCTGAAGTCCAGGTTCCCTCCACCCTCCACTTGACCATGCTGGTTCATCTCCCTGTTAAGGCCTTGCCAGTACGCAGGTGTCCTTAGGTATCTCCTCTGAATCAGTGAGAGCCTCTGGGGCGGTTCTGAGATGACGGGAAGACCAGCTACGGTGGCCCCAAGCAAATCACAGAGCTGGTTGCTTATTCCCATTAATAGCCTTGGAAGGAAGCCCATAAGTGGGCCAGGAGGGGCCCCCCAGTCAAGGCAGGAGTCTCCCAGGCTCCCAGACAGTGGGCATTCATTGCAGGTGGCGATTCCTGGGATTCCCAGGTTTGGCCTTTGGTGCTGTTGGAAGTGCTACAGCAAAGAGCTCAGGTGCGGGCAGAGTCCCCTGAGCAGGTGAGTCCCTTTCCAACAGTGGATGTGAAAAACCTCCTTGCCCTTTGCTAGACCCATGCCTGGCCTGAGAGCCAGCCATAGGAGCCTCTGGACCCTGAGGCTGTGTCCTTGACTCCTGTGGCCCTGACCTGGGACTTGAGTTGGATGAATCCAGAGACTTGCCATGCAAAGCACTTAGAGACCGTGGCCGTGGTGCAGAAGTGCCACCGAGTAGCTGTCTCTGTAGATGCCGGTGATCAGAAGTGTCCAGGCACGGTGGGAAGGGCTTGGGCTGTGAAGTCCAAGAGTCTCCTGTTCATAGAGGCGCTGGGTGCGCATCCCTCAGTGAGGTGGGGATGGATGGAGCGTGGAATTGGGTGTGAAGCACCAGGTCAGTCAGGTCAGGCTAGACTGTGCTGCAGTGACAGCCCAGACCCCTCCGTGCTTCCCACACGCATGGTTCACACTCCATGACAGTTCGCTGTGCTGGGCTCTGCTCCACTTGGATTTCGCCCCAAGGCTCAGGCGGCTGAGCAGCCTCGGTGTGGAGCAGAAGGACTCACTCACGGCAGAGGGAAGTGACACGTGATGAGCCTCGGGCTGAACTGGCTGTGCCCGGGCAGCAGGCTAAGCTCCTGCAGGGCGGGGCCCACAGAGAGGGACTAACGAGCACCATCCAACCAGAAATGTGAATCCCTCCCCTTTCGGGGCACAAATAGCTTCCCTGCTGTATTTTTTGTTTTTTTGGCCGTGCTGCACAGCTTGCAGGATCTCAGTTCCTCAATCAGGGATTGAACCTGGGCCACGGTAGTGAAAGCCTGGAATCCTAACCACTAGGCCACCAGGGAACTCCAAACCCTGCTGTATGTTTTCCATTGGACATGGATGGGCTTGGCAACAAGTTAATAATTGCTACCCTTCTGTGGGGTTTGTATACCGAGCATAGCTCTTCATAGCCCTATGACAGAACTATTGTTGTTATCACCATTTTACAGGTGAGGAAACTAAGGCACTGACAGGTAAAGTAAAAGTGCCCAAGGTCATGCAGCTGCCACGACTTACCTTGAGTCTTCAGGAGCAGCTGGCCCAGCTTCTGAGCAGGCCGTGGATGATGTCAGGTTGGAGGGACGTGGCAGACGGTTTAGTGCATAGGAAGGCCTTTGGTGGATCCCAGTGAAGGGCTGTCAGGGTGGTAGGCCTTGGGCTGTGTCCCGAGGGCACAGGGTCTCTTAAGAATATATACTGTTCTAAAGATGTTTGCAAGTGGTTCTAAGTTTGGGCCTGTTAGTCCCAGAGGCCCCTTTTAATCAAGCTCTTGTCTTCTCTAGAGAAGCCCAGATGAGGGGTTTCAGACCTTGGATTGTGAAGTGAGGCTGGAATCTTGCGAATTTTCATCTTGAAGGTTATGGAGTAACAAGAAAACAGGCTTAAAAAATTATGAAGAGTAGCAGAATTCTAATTGAAAACTAACACTAGGTACTGCTTTTTCGTTCATCAGATGCCTCCTATTTGATCACTTCCCAGCAATCTTAGGAAGTAGGTGAAATTGTGCTCATTTTATGGCTGCACTAAAAGAAGTTCAAAGAGGTTGCCTGGGGCCACCGGGCTAATGAGGGCATCTGGGACACTGACTTTGCAACTGTGCAGGATGAAATAACATGTGCTGGTGTGTAGAGATAAGCATATCCTATACGTAGGACTGTGACGACATCAGCCAGTGGTGACTGCCTCTCTGTTTCTTCCCCTAAGATTTGCTTGGCTTAAACCTCCCTTCTTTTGCTTCCAGGCTCTGCAGTTTCTCCAGAAGAATTCCTCCAAGTATCACTTCAGACGCACCAAGATGTTGCCGGTTAGCGGTGGGTTCCATACCAGACTCATGGAGCCAGCTCTGGAGCCCCTGGCACAAGTTTTAAAGGCAATTGATGTCAAGAAGCCTCTGGTGTCCGTCCACTCAAACGTTAATGGGAATAGATACATGGATCCAAAACACATCCAGAAATTGCTGGTCCAGCAGGTGGTCTCCCCGGTGAAGTGGGAGCAGACGATGCACGCCATATATGAGAGGAAGAAAGGCACCGAGTTCCCCAAAACTTTTGAAGTAGGACCTGGGAAGCAGCTGGGAACCATCCTGAAGAGCTGTAACCTGCAGGCCTGGAGGTCCTACAGTCACGTGGAGGTGCAGGAGGCTGACGAGGACCTGCACTAGAACCCGCAGGGGCCTCCCGAGGACCTTGGCGTGGAGGGGGCATGGCTGGGGAGGCCGAAGGGGCTCCAATGGGCCGAACCCAGCCAGGCCGCCACCTCCAAGTGATCGGGAGGGATTGTTTGCAGAGTGCTTTGAATGCCACATAAAAAGCACTGGAAATGAGTATTTCTTTACATGACACAGTCCATTTCTCCCCCCTTGAAACACGTTCGAGTGCTGGGGAGAGATGCAGCCGTGACAGTTCTGTGAAGACTGGTGAGTTCCTGCCCTGCCTCTTGAGCAGGCCCCTCCGCCTCTCAGGGGTTCAGGGGCTCCTCTGTACAAGGGGCGGGAACGACCTGGCTGGCAGGTGTGTTCTGAGGACTGGGAAGGCCTGGCCTGCTGCCATGTGGGTGCCGTGGGCAGGTGGCATGGCCACAAGGCTGACCAGTGCCAGACGGGCCCCTCTGCTGCCCCAGCATCCTCTGGCCACACATGGCCAAAGCCTTAGCTCCTTTGTCACTGAAGTCAGAGGGCTTTAGGACCCAGTGGGCTTTGGCAGCCATTCCGTCCACCCCTTCACTCAACAGTTGGGAGACCCAGGGCCCCATCTGTTTACTTACCACACAGAAAGTATTGAGTGCCTACTGTATGCCAGGGAGTGAGTGGCCTCTGCCTTGGTAGGGAAGAGGGTCCTTTAGCAAGGCGGGAGTGGTGCGGGGAGGGCGGCTGAGGGCCCTGTTTCCTCCCCCACCCCCAGTCATCCCTTTAGAATGCAATCATGGAGTGCCTACTGTGTGCCCAGGGCCTGGTTCGGCTCAGGCCCACCCTCAGAGCTTATCCTCAGCTGCTGCACACCAGAAGCAGGGTGCAGACTCTCTGCTCCTAATATCAATACTAAATATGAGTCATTCTAAACTTCTTGGGTGATTTTTTTCATTATTCAGCAATAGTAGGAAAAGCATATTGGGAATGAAATCCCTGAGCTTGTTTTTTTTGGCGGGGGGCGGGGGTTAAGATTTTTTTTTAATTTATTTTTTATTTTTGGCTGCATTGGGTCTTCGTTGTTGCACGTGGGCTTTCTCTAGTTGCGGCGCGCGGGCTTCTCACTGCGGTGGCTTCTCTTGTTGTGGAGTGCGGGCTCTAGGTGCGTGGGCTTCGGTAGTTGTGGCTCGCAGGCTCAGTAGTTGTGGCTTATGGGCTCTAGAGTGCAGGCTCAGTAGTTGTGGCACACGGGCTTCGTTGCTCCGCGGCACGTGGGATCTTCCCGGACCAGGGCTTGAACCCGTGTCCCCTGCACTGGCAGGCAGACTCTTAACCACTGCGCCGCCAGGGAAGCCCTT